TATCCGTATAAGTTTGGATTTTTTTATTACACAATTTTTTTTTTGAGTATTTGTGTCACAATGGGTAAGTTTAGAGTTTTTAGTGACACATAAAATTCCCTTAACTTTTTATGTCACCAAAAACCTAAACTTGCTCACTGTGAGACAAATACTCAAATTATTTTTGTCACGAAAAAATCCAAACTTATACATGTGTGACATATATACCCTCTATTTCAGTTTTATCCGTATAAGTTTGGATTTTTTATTACACAATTTTTTTTTGAGTATTTGTGTCACAATGGGTAAGTTTAGAGTTTTTAGTGACACATAAAAAATTTAAGGATACTTGTATCACGATAGGCATTGTTTAGAGTTTTTTGTGATATTAACACTATAAAAATTAAGAAAAAATCTAAATTTCTAGCGGGAAAAGTGTATCGAGGGAACCGATACGCACAAATGGAAGGGAGATTTGTTAAGGCGTAAGTGCAAAGGTACTAATTAGCTAATAACTTATTGTCTTAAATTTTGAATGAAGATAAAGTCGCATCGAATGATGTTGAGGGGCTCAAACTTGATCAATCTCCGGATGATCTCTCCAGACGAGTTACATGCCTCCTAGGTGCGCCTAGCCAACACTGCCCGCTATCAATACGTTTTATTGCTTGTAAACTCATGTTTCCTCTCTTCAAGACATTCCCATTTAGGCTTCATCTTTTCCATCTCTGTGGAAGAAGGTAGTGGTGGGGTCGTTCATAACCCACTATTACACTAAAATTCCTCAGATAATTGATTAATTTGGGACTGGTTTGATAAAATTAAAAACTAAATGCTGAGAATTTAAGTATTGAATTTTGAGTGCTCAAAGTAGAAACAAAAAGTTATTTTTTGAGCAACTGAAAATTGACCATCGATATTCTTACCGTAATTAAAACTGCGATAAGTGTTGATAGATTTTAGTAGTATAATTGGCAATATTCCTATTGCCATCGATTACATTTTTCTACTTAATGAATTAAGTAACACATTTCTTACTCACCATATTAAATGATTTTTTTCTATTTAATTGAATCTCTTAAATCAATATTTGGTATAGTTACTACTAAACATTTCAATTTTCGACACTTAATTTGTGTTATTAAACAGGTTCATTAGTAATTAAGAAGCTTGGTCAGCTTCAACTTCAACTTTACTTGGTCAAAGACAGTTCGTATGAGAATATATAAAATTCTGAACCTGGTGAATATTCCACTTTCGTTGTAATCAAAAGGAGAAAGTGGATTACAACGAAAGCGGATGAGTGTTGTCTCCATTTTACAGTATTATCATTGGTAGGAACACATCCGCTATGGTTATTTATTGATTTTACTGAAATTATTGCTCGACCCGTCTCAAGAAAACATTTGAAATGAATTTTAATGTTTTTATATAAAATTTATTTTGAAAATTTGATATTTTTACTAGGGGTGAGTTGTTCCCGGTCCAGTCCGGTCCGGTCCAACCCAAGAACAAGGAACCGGACCGGGAGGACCAGTTCCCAATTTCTAGGACGGGGAACTGGACCGGCTAGTCCTGGGAAAGTGGACCGATCAGACCATCGATCCGGTCCGGTTTATATGTGACCAATCACTTATTGGTAAAGGCAAGAGAGAATTTGGACAATTAGATTAGGCTTTCTATTTTTTTCAAAAATTTTAAAAAGTAAATAATTAAATATAAATTAGAAATATATATTTATCGATCCGGTCAGATCGATCCGAGCCGGTCCGGTTTCCACCCTAAAACCGGGAACCGGACCACCCGGAAACCGGTTCCACTTTTAGGAACCGGGAACAGGACCAATATTCTCGAGAATCGGGCCAAACCAGTTGGTCCGGTCCGGTCCGGTCCGATTCCGGTTTGGACAGTCCATCTTGCTCACCCCTAATTTTTACTATTAATAAATCTTCTGAGTCATTTGTTAAGTAAGCAATTATGGAAAATTTACGGTATCCAATACACTATTTTTCTCAAGTCATGTGACTTATTTGCAAATTTGAAATATTTATAATTATTATGTTTCAAAAGTACGCTAGACATTGCACTTTTGGCTTCATCTTCCGCTTCTTTGTGAAAGAAGGTAGCGGCTGATGAACTTTCACTCGCCAGCCACAGGCAAGGGTCGGGATGCTTCCCACGACGAGGGCGTCGGATCTGGGTGAGGGACCACTCCTAAGTGGAGGAGAAAAAGAATTAAAGAAAAGGAAAAAAGAAAAAATTATAAAAAAAATTCAAAAAGTATTAAAATATTATTAAAAAAATTTCACATCAGTGTCGGCCAGCTACGATTGGCCGAATGGACAAAATTGGCATAAATGAAAAAACTTTAGGAATGAATTGGCAAGAAAAAAGAAGGTTTATGACTGAATTGACATAATTGCAACAGATTTAGAACTTTTTAGGTAATTTTCCATAAATCTCGTGTCTAAACCATGACATATTTTCTGGGTAAAAACAACACCTATGACCGCAAAAATATTTTCCTAGCGACATGTCAAATCTTTGTCACGAAATGCTTTGCTCTCGCCACATGTTCATGGCAATAGGGCAGATCGTTAGCCACGAAACATGTTTCCTCACTAAAGATTATACAACTCCGCACAAAGCTTTCGTGGCCGTATAAAGCATTTCTGGCCTTCAAAAAGTGCTCGTGGCAATTTTTTTTGGACGTGTGTGTTGACAATACATACTGTAAGCATTCATTATAAGCTAATTTTATACGTTGATTATAATTTCATCCCTAAACATAACAACAATTAACTAATCTTGTTGGTTAGTACAGTCATCATATATAATTTCATAACATTTAATGACCCAATTTTGTACCTTGATAGATCATATGCTAATTGGAAAATATAGTAAAAAGCATAAGCAACTACATGTTGTTATTAATTATTACACCCATTTTGCAAAAACATGTATATAATTTTGAGAAGACAATAACAATTGACGATACATAAGTAAATTACCAATATTTGATAATTAAATGAAAACTATCTGTTAAATAAGTAAGGTTACTATAGATGATGAATGAGTATTACAAGTTTAGGTTAATGTTGTTGACACCAAAAAATGGCCAACTTTTTATTATTATTGACAAGTGACAGACTTAGTCGATGAGAGTAAAGTTTAGTGAAAACAAAAGCCATCAATGAACATAATTATTGACAGCTTGAAGGAAATCGACAACTTGCTAACAAAGTCATCAACAACACACAACGCGAAAGTTATCGACGAGAGCCTTCATCAAAACTTTAGAAATTGATTGACAAAGTCATCAATAGTGAGCAATTTAACAGCTTGGTAGTTATGTCTAATACTGAAATTTTAGTATTTTTTTGTAACTTCTTGTTGATAAATGTTGCTAGATAATAGGAGATTGTGGATAGTGTAACTTCTTGTAACCGCCGATAGGTTTATAAAGTTGTTTGTTCCAAAAATAGGATTAGTAAGTTATCTTTTCAAATTCAATAACTACTTGTAACCAATTGCGGGCTATAAATATCCATATTATACTCTTTATAAAGGATTATCTCTCAATCAATCAAATAACTCAGCGTTCCTTTGCATAATTTATCTTTTATCTTTACTATCCTGCATTTTACATCACTACCAATGATTGTCCCTAGTGTCTTACTTCTAAATTTCTTGTCATTTACTTTCCTATCGAAAATCAACAAAGGACCCTTCATAACCTTTGGCGATTCACATCAATCCATCTATCTATCTTGAAGTCTATTTCATCATTTTTGGTGAAACATTTTTTTGGCGAGCTCGGTGGGACGCATTTTGTTGAATCAAGGAGACTACAGTGGCAAGAACCAAAAATCAACAAGAGTCCGACAATCTTGCTGGCAACAACAATCCAATGCCACAAGCTGATGACGGGGTTCTTTGCACATTCTAAATTTTCAACCATTGGGAAAGCGACATAAAGAAATCAACTCAAAGAAGTCAATCTTTCAAGGCATCTTAGTGAAGAGCAATCAAGGCATGTTGTTCCAAATTCCCACTTGGTGTCAACCATGAGAAGATTCCTTGAAGAACAGCAAAATCACATGGCTAATTACATCGTGAGCCATATATCAAATATGATAAAGCCAATAATTATCAAAGATTGTGCAGAGGCCCGAGTTTTAATCAAGGCCAAAGTAATGGAGATCGCCCAATTCAAGCTGGTCAAATAACATAATTTGAAACAATACTTGGGCAAAACAAACTGGTAGACAGCTTGGTCAAATGCCAAATGTTGAAAATATAAGGCTAGTGGCCGGATCCACTGGTACTACCGAATGTGAATATCCCTATTAGGCCAGATTTGCCAATTAACATAAATTTGGATAACCCAGCAAGACCAGCATCACCGGCTAGGGGTAGGATGGTCTACTGAATCAACATTTCAATGCGATAAGATTCGCTGACGATGTTTATCAGGAGTTAGCATTAAAACGAGGAAATTCTATCCTAATTGGGTTGATAGTGTATCCTGTCTCAAAAGATTTAAGACTCTTGACTTTACTATTTTTACTGGAGATGAGGAACAATCAACCATTGAGCATATTGGTCAATTTCTTGTCCAGTGCGGAGAAGCAGGTACTAATAAATTCCTAAGACTTTAGTTAGTTCATTTGTCTTTGTCAAAGACCGCTATCACCTAGTATACCAATTTGCTGCCCAATTCAATTAATAATGGGGCAGAAATGGAAAGGCAGTACCATTCTCAATTTATAGAACCATACCTAAAGTATCAGCTGCCGATTTGGCTAGGATGTTTTAGTGCAATAACGAATCAATCAATCAATTTATTGTTCGATTTAAGAAAGTTAGGAATAGAGGCCTCAGTTCAATCTCAAGAAAAGAATTCACGATTCTGGCTTTCGATGGATTGCAATTCAATTTTAGAGAAAATTTTGAAGGTCAAGGCCTTGTCGATTTATTTCAATTAGCGACAAGCTTGTCTGGTGTTGGACACAATTCAGTACTTAAAATCACGCTGACGAAACTATTCCATTCATTCACGGGACGATGTTATTTATCTCGTCCCACACATTTATTCGAACACTTAAGAACCAAGTTTGGTTGGCAGCCCCTAATTTTGCTAACAACATACAGTTTTTGTTGGAGGACACACCACCCCTAGTGACGTATTGTCACGTACACTTGCTTCTTTATTGAGACGCTAGACATCATTTCATACTTTTACAGAGCCCAAGAACCAGTATCACGCATATAAGCTCATAATTTATGTTTTTATCTTCTTCTTTCTTCATGCAGTTGGATAAGAAGCTAGCATGGCAAGACCACAGAGACCGGCCGTAGAGCTCACATCCCTCTGGATCCTCATGTACCCGCTCTCACCCCACCCGGTGCCCCACGAATTCTTCATCAGCCAATACTTGGTCCCGCCAGAGGCCTTCCCGTACCCGACTGCCGTGACTGCATGGTCGATGTCGGTCCCGCACGAGCCTGTGAACACGCCGCTTGAGTAGAATCGGAAATCGAACCCGCCCCCCTCGATTGCCACCGAGACCGGCTGGTTCGCCACAGCCTGCAAGAGGGCCTTCTCGTTGTTGTCCGGCACGTCCTGGTATCCGGTTATCGAGGCTGAGTGGTTGGCCATCTTGGCCGTGTTGCAGGACCCGCCATTCCCTCGGTAAGGGTAATTCGCCTCGGTCGTGAGGCCACCATTGCTTTTGATGAACTCAAAGGCGTTGTCCATGAGCCCGCCCCAGCAGCCGTCATCGTAATCGTCACAATCCACGAGTTCTTGCTCCGAGAGTGACACCAACTTCTTCTTCTTGAGCTTGGTAATCCCTTCCATAGCCGCCACTGCCGAGAATGCCCAACAACATCCTGCATAAGGGGATAATAAGTTCTCTGGCTGGCGTATATAAATTATACAAATTAATGTACAAAATAGAATACTTGTACGATAGGTGTAAAAAGAATATAACAGTGAATTAGAGAAAATATTGTTATCTGTTATATATACGTTGTTGCCTGTTTTTTAACAGCTTGAGTACGACATGAGAATTTTGACATTTTCGCAAGACAAATTTTGCTTTTCCACTCACCACAGTCGCCTTGATCCTTGACAGATGTCACAGCCTTCTTGGTTCGCCAGTCCAAGGCAGCTGGAATGGCGGTGAAGTTCGTATACTTGAACGGTTTTGCAGCCCCAGAGGATAGGACCCTTGTGGGCCTCCTCTTGTAGCCGGTGTAGGAAGCGCGAAACTCCTCGTTGGTTAGGTCCGCGAACTTGTTCACAGCCAGTTTATACCCCACGTCCTTACCATTATTAAAGGCGCTGATGCGCTTAACGTTTTCTTTAAATATCTCATACCGTTTGGCCTTTTCGGCCGCGTCCTTGTAGTCGCGCCCGTGGATCGCCATCCACTCCTCATGTTGCTTCAACAAGTGTTCCTCCCCAAGAGGGCGAGAAAGCGTTTCCGAAACAGAAACTATAATGACCAAAAGGGTGGCTGCTGTGAGGAATGAGAGTTCGTTTCGTTTGGCCATATTCGTGGTTTGGGTACTGTCTACGACACAATTGGAGTGAGTTGGTGAGGGTGTATTTCAATTTGTGCACGAGGAACTCCAAATGGGTGTCATGGCCTTTTATAGACAAAATGTTGCTCAATTGTTGTCACTCTCACTCTCTCTCGATAACGCTCCAGTGGACTTTTGCTGCTCCTTTGTGCCCTGATAGATGTTCCGACGTAGACCCCCCAAATTGGAACTCAGCTTTGCTATTGCACGCTCATGACGAATAGCACATACTCATGATGAATAGCACATATGCAATTGAAGTGACTCTGGTTATCATTGACTGATGGGAAATTTATCAAAATGCTTCCATTAAACATTATTATGTTAGCACAAAAATAGGGCTAATTCCAAAAAAAACACCAACTTTACCTTAAGTAACGATTCTGGCTCGAACTTTTTTTATCTCAATAAAAATCACTAACTTTACTCGAGTCCCAAATCTGACCCTCGTTAACCAAAGCTTGAGATCTTATAGATTGTTACAAGCACTTTGGTATCTCCTTCACGATACTTCCCAACAAAATCCATTTATTAATATCCATCACTAGAACCCGATATTTAACTGAGATCAATTGATTAATGTCCATTCGACGTAAACTTCGAAGTTTCATGGGGAGAGCTTGGGCTTATTTCAGAAAAAAAATGTTTTGGTCGTGAACTGGGCAGAACTCGTCCATGGCGTCTCTCAACGGGTGGTGGTCCACAACTTTAGATTACAACAAAACAACAAAACAATGGAGGCTGGCCGAAGAGATTCAATCTGGAGAGATTTTTGAGTTGTCGGTGAAGTGAATGAGACCATAAACAACTTCACTATTATTCTTCAAATTGTGGCTCAGAAAAGAAGACAATGAATAATACTTTAGATCCAGCTTGCACGTGACGTGAATAGTCACATTGGACAATTAACGATTCCAAGTCAATGGGGCCATATTTGAGATTTAAGTGAAAATTGATAATTTTTAAAGAAACAAAAAAGTTCGGACTAGAATTGTCACTCAAGGTAATGTTGGTGCTTCTTTTGTTGGGGGGGGGGAGGGGGAAGTAGGCCTGCAAAAATATATGGTTCTAGAAGGCTTGTTGGTTTTGTGGTGGTCTCAACTCCTAGCCAAAAGCAAATCGACGGTTGATTTCCTTTCGTCAATAGTTTGGTACTTGGGCCTACACGTATGTATTTGCTGCCATATATGTGTATGTATTGGCATTTTTGACCTATCATAAACTATATTCGCACATCGTTGTATTTAGATAGATACATATTTGCATCTATTTTTGATGTTTGATCATGGGTAGTAGTGGTAATTCATGCCCGTATTGGAAAGAATTGGTTTTCTTCGGTGAAACAACTAGCTTGGGTCAACATCTGCTAATAAAATAGTATTGATCATGGGCAATAATATGGCGCCACGTAAATGATCACCAATGACTGAGTGGCGGGTGGTGTGCAACACCAAAGCTATACTTCAACACTGAAATCATATTCTGTCCCATTTTGCTTGACTTAACCATATCAACGTGTTTTCTAAGTTTGGGAATAACTTCTAGACTCCTATGTTTTGCATTAAGAATCTAACTCAGTCAAGCTCGTGAGCTATTCAAGTTCGACTTGTAGATTACTCATACTCGGCTTGACTTTTTGAGTTCAAGTAGTTCATACACTAATTAATCGAGCCTAGCTTGAGCTCGAAATTAATTTACTTTAATAGTGTATGAGCTGTCACGCCCCGAACCCTACGGCGCGCGAGCATCCCAACCGTGATCGATATTGTTGCGACGTCCCAAAACGTGTGCCGACCCAACACCCAAATACAGAGAATCATGCACACGCGGAAGCAACATAAACACCCGTACAATTTAAACACACATGACCAAAGATAGCACAGCCAACAATTAACATTATAAATATATACATTACATTAACTTGGGAAACATATATACTATCCATTTACACAAGATACAATACAACAAAAGCGGGTCAACGACCACCACTGACAAAAAGGGGTAGGTGGCCTGAGCGGTCAGTCTAAGCACTAATCTAAGGAAGGGCTCCGGTCAAAAAGGTACTGACCCGACCTAACTGAGGCTAAGGATAACCCTACGGAACCCAGTCCGGGTTGGATCCCGAGGACTCGGAAGAACTGTCAGACAGCTCGACCTCGGAGTCTAGGGAATCCAGCTCGGACTCGGCCTCGGCCTCTGCCGGCTCCTCCTCAGAATTCATCTCCTCAGGCTCGCCCTCTTGCTCGAGGTCCTGCTCTATAGGCTCTGGCTCCTCATCCGACTCCATCGGCTCCGGGTCAGAGTCCCAATCCACTGGCTCCTCGTCCATCGGGTCCGGCTCGTCAACCTCCCAGACAATAGGTCCGTGCCCAACGCCAGCACTAGAACTCCCCTCGAACGTGTACTCGGGGCTCGCCAGGTCTCCATCCTGACACTAGGGATCTATGTCTCCTAACCCGTTGAACGAGACATCAAAAGTCCGGAGGGACCCGAAAGTCCCGGAATAGTCCCTAAAACACCAAGCTATGTACTTGTGGGCCTAGAACTGCTGCTCACCCACGTCAACCCATACGGTAGTAAAGTGTCTAATATATGTATCCCCGTTCCCTACGGGGTACTCGGTCACATCCCGGTCTATCCGAGACGGGATCCCAAAACGTATAGGTACCTCAGACATCTTCAAGGCCGGGGGTCTGAAAAGTTGGGTTTTAACAAATAATGAGAAGGAATCTCAGCGAGTAAAACCCCATAAACCTAAACTAGGCTAACATGCACCTCCTGACAGGCAAACAATCACACGAATAGATCAAAATCAATTGACCTAGGCTCGCGGCCCAGATCGAGCACATAATTAACCCTGCAGGTTAGGCATATAATAATCACAATAATGGCACATACGCGACAGGCTTGGTCACACGTACGCCATACACATGCTCATGCTTGTTAATGCATGTATCACACACGAGTCATCGACACACACATGCTTACATGATTGTCAATGCACTCTTGCATATTGCCAAATTCCAATTAAGAGTTCGACCCGCGTAAAACGCATCAGGTCTATAACAATTCCAACACTTCCTGGCCCGTGTAAAACGCATTAGGCCCAGTGTCTCTAGCTCGCGTAAAACGCATCAGGCGCAACACCGATCTCCATATACGGACCAAAACCCGCGTAAAACGCATCAGGTTGGCCGTCTTCCTGTAGAATCGGGCATCGTCCCGCGTAAAACGCATCAGGACCATTAGGTATTCACATGCTCATGTCAGGCACGCATACTCGCACAATTCTCGTCTCAAGCCGATGCTCAGCATGCGAAATGCGTGGCCATGCAGTCCGGCACTTGGGCAACAATGCAATTCACAATGAGCACGAAATTCCAATCATAGGCACATAGACAATTTATGCCAATTCAATGTGCATTTCAACATGCCTAGTTCACCTCATGACGTGCTTAATTAACACTTTAGCATGCCCAAAGAATTACTCGATTCAAATCAGCCACGACATGCCCAAATCAACATATTAACATGCCCATTTGAAGCAATTCAATGCAATTAGGTTCCGGCATACCATTGGCACATAATTCATGTAATTAGCACAACACAAACTCGCACGCTCAAGACCCGCCATGCCACTTCATTCTCGGCCACTTTAGGACACGCAACATGGCATCATAAAATTGAACACAATCAAGGACAAATCAGCCACCAATCGGTCAATCTAGGCATCCTCGGCAATAACACAATTCAATCCCAAAATTAACCAAACTTAATCCAATTGAATCCACCATGGACAGCCACTTATCCGGTCATTCTAGGCCATTGATTTCACTCCCAAATCAGCATATTAAACCACTAAATTCATCACAAAAACAGTCATATCATCCAGCCACTAATTACCCCTAAAATCACCCTAATTAACCCCTAAATTAACCTAATCCTATCTAGAAATGCTTAATTAGCCTAATTAGGGTTTAGGGATAATTACTCACTTAATCCTAAGCTCCAATCTAGTAGCTGAACCGGCGGGGAAGCGGGCGGACCGAACGGGTCTCACGGCGGCGGTGAACGGCGGATCACACGGGCGGCAGTCGGCGGCGGCCAAGGGGCTGATCGGGATGGTCCTCACGGCCAAAAGGAAAGGAAATGAGGTGGAGGAGAGGTCGGGACAGTCGGGTGGTGGTGGTGATGGTGAGATAATGGACGGCGGTCTTGGCGAGCGGCGGCGGTGGCGTGGCCGCTCACGGTGATCCTCACGGCCGAAGGGCTGATCGGCTGGCCTTATTGCGCCGAAATGGAAGAGAGAGAGAGACGGGCGAGACGGGGTGAGGATGGTGAGGCTGGGCGGAGCGGACGAGCGGCACGGCGTGGCGCGCGGCGGCGTGCTCCGGCGACGGTGGTTCACGGCCGAGCAAGGGAGAGGAGAGGAAATCGGCGAGGGAGAGAGGAGAGGGGAAGTGGCCGGAGATGGTGAGGGAGAATGGGGGAGAGAGAACGAGTGGAGAGCTAAATTATTGGACTAATTTTCCCTAATGCCTATCTTACCCTTCACTTCAAGGGTGGAGATCAACTCAAGACCAATAATTGAGGGACATCTTGGTCTTAAATTTTTTGAATTATTGGACTGATCTAGACCAAGATTTAAACCCTAAAATACCCTCCAATTAATCCCAAAATTCGGAATACAATTATAAGGCCTAGGGGCAAAATCGTAATTTTCCGATTCCGGGCCGAAATTCCAATTTTCGACCGTACTGATCCCAAATACAGCTGGCCACACTAAAATGACATCGTCCTCGCAAAATAGTCGCGCACGTCCACGAAATTCGACGCTCAAGTCCGGATCCAATTTCGCGATCAAAATTGCTCAATTACAATTTTAGGGTCTCTCACTAACGGGCGGTTATTTAGGGGTTACGCGTATCGACCTAGGGTTACTCGAGTCGTGACGGTCTCGATTATCGAGAAAACGCGAGGATTTATCACTAGTTCCGGAGGTCGCAATCATTCGGATTAAGTTCGGGAT